ACATTTTATACACATGCATTTCAGCAATTCGCGGCAGCCCTTTCATGCCAACAGAAGAGTTGTCCATACAGGTCCAAGCTCTCCCTAGAGTTATTGCCAACCCTATACAGAGGGCTTGGTAACTCCTGTGATTTCATCAGGGATTGCTCTGAAACATAACTCCCCTGATTTACAGCTCTTTATATGTTGGATCAAAGCTTATTCTGTTGGGGAATATTGTCCAAAGTTCTCCCATCGTGGTGAACAAATGCTTTCTTGCTTCATTCACTTTCATGAGGTTGCTTGCTCTGTCATACAGCAATGATGAATCAGCATTAGTGATTAGTGATTTCAAGTGGTGGACAGGTGAGGGAAATAGAGGTGCCTGTAAGTTCAGGAAAAGCAATCCATGCATTCCACGAGGTCTTTCATATCAAAGGATGACACAATGTCACAGAACGTGAAGCTGTGACACATAGGAAGGATCTACTTTTCTCAGGACCCAGACCTGATGCAAGTTCATGAATTACAATATAGAGGAAGAGTTTTCCGGTACCAAACCCCACCCATACTTCTTCAAGATCGAGAATGCCTGTTGCAGCTACGGCCAAGACTGACTGACTGACTGACTGAGTTTGGTTTTCACGCTTTTAGCAATATTCCAGCAACATCACGGCGGGGACACCAGAAATGGTCAAGACAACCACATCAGTGTCAACAGTACGGCTGTAAAACTTCTTCCATCCTTTATGTGAAGCATCAGTGAAGAAAGTCTTTTTATCTCTTAATAGTTACAGGGTGCCAATTCCAAAAGGTCTTTTGGTTGATTGGACACCACATATTCGCCAATAGGGCTGATGACTTGTTTGATTCTATCAAGGCTATTTCTGTACAAGGAAAGCAAAAAGATATTTCTTGCTGGTATGACACCTCAGGAATTCTTGCCAGTGCCTCAGAACTGGCTTCCACTCGTCGTCTTTTTCCACTTCCTCTTTTTGTTCTTACACTGGATTTTTACGCTGTCCGTTTTGTATTCGTCCCAGACAATATCCACTCTCTGATTAGTGTCCAGAAGAGACTGCAAGTACTTCAAGAACACATTATCAGCATATTCATCAAATGCTATTGGAGCTGCTGGTTTTAGCATGTTTATTACTGAAGATCCATCAAGGATTGATACGTCAACATTTGGTGTTGAGTCAGTTGGTGGTGAAATTTTCTTCAAAGCAATTGAGAAGAACTGATTTTGCGCATGGACGTAGAGAACCTTGATGAGATATAGTTGGATAGCAAGACTGATTTTCATGTCTGGACAAACTCATCCAGGTTTCCATCCCTTGACTCGTCTGTGTATATCTTGTCTTCATGGAAGAAGTTCTACATCCGTATTGTTGACACAGATGTGGTTGTGTTGGCCATTGCTGCATCAAGCGTTCTCAGTGTTTCACAGCTTCACAGGCCATGACAGTATGTCATCCTTTAGTGGAATTGAAAAGAAGGCCTCGCGAAATACATGGAATACTTTTCCTGAACTTACAGGCACCTTTATTTCCCTCGCTTGTCCACCACTTGAAATCCTAATGCACAAAATTAATCAGTATGAGAGAGTTGTTGTACTGCTGTATGACAGTGCAAGCAACCTCATGAAAGTGAATGAGCAAGAAAACATGTGTTTGCCACAAAGGGGAGAACAGTGGACAATATTCCCCCAACTGAATCAACTTTGATCCAACATACTAGTAACTATGGACAACTCTCACGAAGGCATGAAAGAGCAGCCGGGAATTGCTGAAATGCATGTGTATAAAATGTTCAAACCGGTCCAAGTGCGTTAAAACATCTCTCAAGTGCTATGCACTTTTCTCATTCAGTCAAGCTAGATACAATTACACATGATTGAGTAACCGTCCATAGAGTGATGAGATAGCTACTTTGACATTGATGTTGTGTTGATTTTGAAATGTTTTTATAGGTGTTCTATAGCCAACCAAGCTCATACATTATACATGTAAGTAAATCTAATGATATATTCCTTAAAATAAACTTTCGTCTGTTCTCACAATATTCTAGATACATACAATTTATGAGGATTTAAAATTGACATAAAGGAACATCTTGGAAAATTCAATTTTTTCCCCACTTTTCCCCCCAAATATAAAAAATTACAACAATCTGTGAGGCTTCTGGTATTGAATTTGCAAAGAAATGATAAAAATATTTTAGATCATTGGGTGATCTCATACTTATTTTACTGATGTACTCTATATGGCGGCCATTTTGCAAAATGGTGTGTGAAAATTGGCGGCCATTTTTCAAAATGGCCGCCACTTTCGCATTTTCGGGTAGTCGTGATATAAACTGACTTCCGTAGACCTAACCGTTAAAGATAAAAACATGTACAGATGGAAAATGACCAGCTATGGATTTCCTACAATTTGATATATGACTTATGAGAATTGGAGAATTTTGTAAAGGTTATGACGAAAATAGTATAAAATTATATTTTTCACTTTTCCCCAAAATTATGGAAAATAAACAAAATCTGCGAGGCCTCTCGATCTTTATTCAGTTAGAATGGTATAAGCTACAATCATGCCAAGTTTCATGCTTGTAACACAAAGTGCACAATTTGATCACTTATCCGCTGGGCTATACATGCAATGAGCTACAGTTTGAATGATTAAACATTCGTTTGGTACTGAGCGCAACTATTCTGCGTTCAATATTTGAAGATGTAACTGTTTGGTGAATTTCTCGAGCAGGATTATGGTGCTGACAGACCAAGATGTTCAGGGAATCCTGAAATGTATAAGGGACGTAACTCTGCACATAAGACAACTTTGATTCACAAACTATAGGTAGATAGGAGCATTATTTGTCATTTCCAGGTGGTGTGTCTCTTTCCTAGCATCACTCCATAGCACTGATGTTTATAGTAGTTGGTATTACTACAAATCAGTGTAGATGTATTTGTTTCTGAACTGCTGAAAAGAGCCAAATATATGTAGAGTCAAGGCGCCAACGCCTGCAGTCATAACCAGAGACAAATTGTAATATGTACACATCTAGTTTGTCTTCAATGCTGTATTGAACCCGTTTTGGCGGATAATCCAGACTGGTTTTTCCCTGGTATTTACGTTAAGTCCATAATCAATATTAATCACATGGTCGAAATAATAGAATTCACAGTTTAAATCCACTTTGCTACCCAATACACTCTTTACAAAACAGCAAACAAAACGCACAGGTGTTTTCAGCAGTTCATTTCGATATATTTTGACAGCATTCGTCATTAAGACAATTCCTATGTTTGAATCTCGTTAATCATGTCATGGTTCCTGTGTATTGAGAGCAAACGCATCCCAAAATGTGTTTGTAAGCGTTTGTCATAAAAAAGGAAACGAAACATGAAAAGTCTGCAGAAAAGGTTTTCCACTCAATTCACGTGTTATGGGTAGGAAACATTGGTAGAGACATCGACTATAAAAGGTCAAACCAAGTTCATCATGGAGGACAGGTGCCTCGAAAAATGTCCGAGCAAACCTTCAGACATCATCTGAGAGAAAATGGGAATTCGAGCATATCGACCAAAAGTTGAACCTGACCTGACACGACGTGTCCAATGGTGCAACAGAGTACAGGTATGAACCTGGGGAACTGGCGATGCGTTTGGATCAGCGATAAATCTGCAACGACGGGATGGGAGACATCGTGTCTATTGACGCCAACAAGAACTAGCGCCGAACTGCATTCAACAGGTGGACAGATGTGGTGGAAAGAGTCATGGCCTACACGTGTCAACCAGTGCTAAAGTACTCACCGAAATAGAAATGAAATGGTTTTTGGAGTTTATATCGTAGTTTTGAACACAACTAAAGTTTGATTGTTAAATTTTCTATGACTATTGTTTCTCCCAACCCTTGTTGGCTTCAGAATGAGCCTTACTACATCAAGAATTATCTCCCCAGGTGTCGCAGACGGCTTCCTTTGTTGACATTGCAGGTGTGACAGTAGAAGAGAAAAGAAAGGAAAGCTGGTTCCAGATGATTTTGAAAGGAGTGTGATTAATGCAAAAAAGTTAGCTGTTAGACATGACATTCCTCTGTCTACAGCATACAGAACTTTGAAGAATACGCAGTCAGGAGTTGGGATTGAGCACAAGACAGGGGCATCTTGGTCACCTCCTTCCAACGATGGACCGAAGACTGTATGAAGATAATTGATTTTCCAGCATGATGACGACCTAAAACATACTGGGGCTACACAAAACAGTGGTTTTCAGATGACAATGTTTTAGACTAAAGTTTTTGACTGACCCAGCTACAGCCCAGATCTTGACTCTACTGGGAATATGTGGGACAGAATAAACAGAATAAACCAAAAAGGACTTTAAGATATTGATGATATGAAGAAAGAAGTGGTAGAATATTGGGATACGCTGCCACACGATTTCCTACAAACTTTGATTGGTAGTGTACCTAGGCGCATTCTTTTGTGTATTGCAGGCCAAGGAGTTATCACAAAGTACTGAAAAGACACTTCGACTGTAAGGGAATCATATCTCAGCATATTCATTTGAGTAAAACTTCTACTGGTAACAGTTTATATACATGTATCACGTATTTGCTGAAACAACTTTCTCAATAGTTTCTGTGAATACTATATTTTAAAAATCAAGGGAGAATTACTATCCGTCTGTCTCAAACAACTGGTAATTCAATGTATTTCCAACCACGTTTTGACGCCAGGACTTAACTAGGTTTAGTTGTAGACTTCTATTCATCTATGAAACTATAGGAATTGAGAAGTGGGAATGCTGTCTGTGAGAACGTTGCTCAGTTCAACACTGGAGAGACTGCAATCCTTTATTACATCAGTGGCGTGGTGGAGACGAGACGCGAACATGGCGGCGGCTCCTTTCTTCATGGCAACAGCTTCATCGTCGTCGTCGGGAGGGTGGTAGACGTGGAGAATCTCGCCATGGGGCGTGATCACAAACGAGAACCTGTGAGATACATAATGAATGTCCATATGTAGATTTGATAATAAATGGTCAAGCAAGTCATCTTGAAGACCTGTTTATAGGGCTATGCTATAACATACGTTTGTGTTTGCCCGATGTTCACAGAGAGGCTTAGTATGAATATGGTAGTACTAGTATGACTGTGTTTCCCTCGGACTAGATATTTTAGCACGGACTTCACAGAAACGTTATAGTACGCTACTACTACCACCACACACACTATACCGTGGCCTTCTACACAATCAATCTCGATATAGAGCGACGGGGAAGTGAAATATTTGATAGGACAAACCAAACCCAACCTCCAAACGTTACTGGGTGTAGTGATAACTACTTAACCCCGCAGCGTTATAACTTAATTTGCAGCTTTGGCATCGAAAAACGTTGCTAGGCTGAAAACCACATACTTAATGTTCCAAACACCAATGTGACATCCATACCAAGAACATTTCCATGAAATAAGCAGTTTGTTTCTTTCATTTTTAGCCTCAATCAAACATGGGTAATCTCTCTCTTGTCCGGATTGCGGTGAGGTACCCGAACGGGTAAAACGTCCGTTCGTCAGCTGAAGACCCGGGTTCGTTTCCCCTCATGGGTACAATATGTGAAGCCCATTTCTTGTGCCCCCGTATTGATACTGCTGGAATATTGCTAAAAGCGGCGTAAAATACTCACTCACTCACTCACTCACTCACTCACTCACTCACTCACTCACTCACTCACTCACTCACTCACTCACTCACTCACTCACTCACTCACTCACTCACTCACTCACTCACTCACTCACTCACTCACTCACTCACTCACTCACTCACTCACTCACTCACTCACTCACTCACTCACTCACTCACTCACTCACACTCACTCACCACCACTCACTCACTCACTCACTCACTCTCACTCACTCACTCACTCACTCACTCACTCACTCACTCACTCACTCACTCACTCACTCACTCACTCACTCACTCACTCACTCACTCACTCACTCACTCACTCACTCACTCACTCACTCACTCACTCACTCACTCACTCACTCACTCACTCACTCACTCACTCACTCACTCACTCACTCTTGTCCGGCAGTGTATGTCTAATGTCCATTCAATCTCAGAAATTTAAACGTATACGCGCTCTTTGTTTTGACAATTACCATTTCGAGAAGTCCAAATGATGGCCAATGGTATCTGAAAAATAACAAGAAAATCAACTTTATAAAAAGTATGGTATCAAAATATCAAAACAGACACCCTAACATGACATGCAAGGCAATATAACTTCAAGGCGGATTTAAGACTACGAGACATACACACATGTAATACCAAGAATTCCTCGCCTATGCAATATTCACCTCCTCTTCCATAGTCTATAGTCTTATCATGTGTCCCTGTAAAAAATGGCCTATGCACGTTGCAAAATAACTTTGAAGTATATTGCACATATTGCTGTAAAGAAAACTAATGTGTAGCCCTGTCAGTAAACTAGGGCAATTAAATTCTCATAAAACATTTTGCTAAGAAAGTGTAGAGAAAGATAACAACAGTGTTACGCCAACAAACAGGCGTGCCTGTGCAGCAGTTTGGACACAATCAGCAAGGAACTTTGATCATTCAGCTGTCAGATTTTAACATTCTACTGATTTACTGGTACATTTCTTACGATTGAAGTATGGAGTATCCAGACACGGGACACACTATATGTATATATGTCTTGAATTATCTTAGAGTAAAAATGGGAGTTAACAACTATATACTGTGTTTAATTGCAAAATCATCAGTGTTAACGTACAATTAATTTCTTATAGGTCTATACAGCCTGACAACATGCATTCATGGAGGGTGACGGAATATATGGTGTATGCAAGCCCGCGAAATATTGAGGCTGTAATTACAAGTAGTGGAAGATTATAGTGCATAAACGCCACGTTGAAGTATTGAGGCACTATTTAGTGAGTGAATGAGTTACTCAGTTTGTTTCCCACTCTGTTGTCCTCCGCCGTGATATTGCAGGAGTGACTAACGGGATCTGGTGGTCAGTCTCGCTGACTGGGTTGACACGTCATTGTATCCCTACTGCGTAGATTGATGTTCATGCTGTTGACCCCTTGGGTGTGCCTTCGATGGCCGCCATATTAAGAGCTACTTCCGGGCCAAAGTTCTCTTCAAAAACTTTCAAAGACTTCTTCACGGGTTTTTCAAAAGCAAACTTAACAGGGAAAAGTCTTCAACAAGCTGGTTTAGATGTTGTCTGTTGTTGCTGTACATTTTCTGTTCTTAGTCATATGTCAAAAGTCACGTGGTTTGGCGGCCATATTGGATTGAAAAGATTGCAAAAATGCGATATGCCATCAGAACGGCATAAAACAGCATATATCTCCGTCAGCATCGACCCAATAGCGTCCATATTTGGTATGTGTCTCTGCCATGAGATTCCGATGATTTTCGATTGCTTTGTTCCAAGGGGATACGTCCCGCCGTTTGGCCGCCATCTTGATTTAAACTTATTTTTTTCAGATTCCCATACCAACGAAAGTTGAAAAGGGAATGACTTGACATTTACTATATTAGTAGGCACAGTTAATGGAAAGCTGTCTGCACAATCTCAGTTCTGTATGGCAATAGTTCCGGAGAAAATAGGGGAAAATAGTTTGGCGGACAGACATGCGGACAGACGTCGGGATCAGCTTTGCCGAGTTTGACCATTCCATACAATACACTAGGTCCGGGCAAAGCTGAAACACCAATTCCTTTTAGCCCAGAAGCAGTAACAGCGGCGTCTTAGCTCGTCAAAGAAGTACTTTTTCTTGTGACGGACCGGTCAAATGACTTTGACCCCCGTGACCTTGTTGACCTTGACCATTAGAAAGTCTGTTGGGCTGTCTACCATGTCCAGGGGTTAAAACCCTGATTCAAAATTTATTCCAAAATTTCAACGTTTGACAGCAAACATCTCAAGAACGAATTGTTCCAACACTTCCAAATTTCTTGTACAGATGCACAATCTAATTCCCAACAATTTTGCCTGGACGGGTCAAGTCGCTAAAACGTACCGCTTGGCAGTTATTTTCGTTTTCAGTCTTTTGGCTATGTTTTTCAGCAGTTTTCTGAGTAGTTTGCTCCCAAAATGCCAGCATGGTAGATGGTGTCTTGGTGATACCAGAACTCTAATTGTTTTGACCGTAGACCCAAGAACAACTGAGATACAGCCTTTTAAAGAGGGAACTATTTCTTCTCCGGAACTTCTTAAAAGGTACATGACCCCGCGACCCCGGCTGTATTTGGAAGATCCGCTCGCCTGTCAATAAACGTGTCCTGGCTCCGTTTTGGACGATGATTTCTAGCCCTCAGATACAATGGATGGAACTAAAGCCAAGGAGACCTTATCGTTGCCTGCAACTGTATCAATACCTTTTGGTTTTACACCGCTTTTAGCAATATTCCAGCAATATCACGGCGGGGGACACCAGAAATTGGCTTCACACATTGTACCAATGTGGGGAATTGAACTCGGGTCTTCAGCGTGACGAGCGGACGCTTTAACCACTGGGCTACCCCAGCGCCCCTGAGGCTGTATTTACAGATAATGGAGGATTATAGTGTATACAACACACAATCACGCATTGAGGTAGTATTTACAGGTGATGGAGGTATACAGAGTATACAAGCTACATAGAAGTATTGAGGCTGTATTTACAGGCAATGGAGGATTATAGAGTATACAACACACAATCACGCATTGAGGTAGTATTTACAGGTGATGGAGGTATACAGAGTATATAGTCTGGTAGGATGGGTACAGAATTCAAGTCCCGTGGAAGTTTTGCGATGAAAGCAAGACATTGTGTTTTTCGTATTCATCAGACATGCTAGTTAAATAAAAAGTTTGGTTCCAAGCTGAAATATGGTGCAAACAGTACTTTTGAGCACTGTTCAAAGTGGTTGTGGAAAAGGTTGCTAAAAAGTCAGAAGGTCATAATGGGAGAGTTGAATATTTAAAATTTGAGGTTATTAACTTTATCCAAGTGTGTTTCTCTATTTCATGAAATAGTTTAGTCCCCCCAAAATATATTTTTTAAATTAAAAAAAAATATATAATGAACACTCCCTCTCTAAAAATGTCAGCTAGCAGACGAATTTAAGCAGATGTAGGTTTTGTGCATTTTGTAAGTATATGATTGCTTCATTTCATCAACTCAATGTAAATCAAGTTGTTAAAGAACAGTTATGTATGAAACTAAAAAGAGATGTTTATTTTTGTTTGGTGAGACTGTCAGTAAGGGAGCAGTCCTTATTTCAAAATGTAGTATGTCAATATCAGATTATGATTTATCAATTTCTAATTATTACGCTTGAAGTTTTGCTTCTAAAAGCAGAGTTCTTTGAAAATAGATAAGAATATAACGAAATGATGGGGAGAAAACACTATTTTCTGCTTCACACTCTCTCAATTAAATCCCTTGAAATAATTTTCAAGTCATCAGATCGAATAACTTTCTAAAATGGTTATAATCTTTGAAAAAAAACATATACAAATAAATGTGGGGAGAAAAATTTTTATCAGCAGGATAGAAGACACGGTGTCCATATTTAGCTTGTTTGACTTTGGGGATAACAAGAAGGTGTTGATTCCCTGATCTGAGAGATCTAGATGGTGCATAAGCCTGAAGAAGATCTGAGAGTTAGACTGGAGCCGTGTTAGTCGTGCACTGGTATGCGAGACAGAATAGTTTGAAGGAGATTCTGTGTTTCACGGGCATCCAATGAAGGTCCATTAGAGTTGGTGTGATGCGTTTTTTTTCTGGTGATCTGGGAGGCAATGCGAGCAGCTAAATTCTGTATGCATTGGAGTTGGTCAGTGACACAAGATGGAGATCCGGCCAAAAGGCTGTTACAGTAGTCCATACGCGATGTCACTAGACTGAGGCAGAGGGTTTTTTAGGCATCTTTGGTAAGAACGGTCTGGCCTTTGATATTGTGGAGATGGGAGTAGCAAGTTTTAGTAACATATTTGACGTGTTCTGTCATACTTAGATCTTGATCGATGACAAAATCCAGATCGTTGACAGCGGAAGAAAGAGGAATGGTTGCTCCACAGACACATACACTAGTAATGTCACACTGCTTGCGTTTTCCAGCCTGTCCCAAAAGAATGGACTCTGTTTTCTCTTAATTTCATTTCAAAGCATTTGATGACATCCATGAATATCTTCTGGTAACAGTCTGATGTCTGACAGAGAGACGCTCTATAGCTGACTCTGTGTTTGGTTGAAATAACTTCCACAGCTGCGTGTCATCTGCGTAGAAGAGGTCAAGATTAAGGTTTGCTACAACAAAGCCAAGTGGAACACTGTAGAGGGTGAAGAGGATCAGACCTAGCACGGGTCCTTGAGGGACTCCGCACTCAAGGCTAGATGCGGTTGACACAGACTCACCAACAACAACGGTTTGAGTCCTGTCCTGTAGATAAGATGCCAGCCAGGATAAAGCTGAATCCAAGTTCTGTATCAGTCGTGTCAAAGGCACTGCTTAGGCCAAGTAATGTGAGCAGGGCCACTTGTCCTGTGTCAATAACACATCGTAGGTCATTCGGGATCTTCAGCAGGGCCGTCTCTGTGCTGTGGTGTGCTCTGCAGCCTGATAGGAACACCTCATAGAGGTTATGCCAGGAAAGGTGGCCCATGAGACGACTTGAGACTGCACGTTCAATGAGTTTGGATATATATGCTAAGTTTGAAACAGGCCTGTAGTTTTTTGGATCCTCCTAATCAAGGCTTGATTCCTCAGATTTGGCCTAACTAGAGCTGACTTGAGTACACTTGGGGCATAACCAGATGAAGTAGAAGAGTTAATAATAAGCACTAATGTTGGTAAATATCAGTGAAACTATGAATATGAGTAAGAGGCGTGCCATCAAACATTTGTGGCGGAATATCAGCTTCATCCACAGCCGCAGAAGACGAAATCTTGGCATGAATGTTCTTGGATCTTTTTGTAGAAATAATCCGAAAATGTCTGTGCTATTACTTCATTGTCATCAGATGTCGGAAGTGTCGATTCAAAGTCTTTACTCAAGATACTGAACAAAAGTTTGGACAGCAACTTTGGACTTGACGTGTTGGCTTCAGTGCTTCAGTCTTAGAATTGAGATGTTGATTTGTCTGATGACCGTTGTTGAGTGATTTTTGGCT